AGCATTCCTGGACTCTCTCAACAATGGTATGTGGTCTGTGTTTGGCCAGCCTCCTTACTCACTCAGGACCCGAGCAGAGCTGAGGACATCCATCATTACACCTCAGAGTCTGATTGAATTATGGGTTTCACCTTTGATAGCGAATGGGGACTGACCAGTCAGCTCCTTTGTTCTGAAAAGCCAGGCGAGATGAGAGGATGCTGTAGGATGCTGTTCTCACTTTGTTTCCTCTCTTCTGTTTCGCCAACTCACCAGAAAGTTTTCTTCTTTACCCTTTAAAACATTCTGAAATTATTCCACTTTAGAATTAGATGGAATTTCGGTTTTCCATCACAATATACCAAGTAATGCATAGTTTTTTAGACTTTTTCAGCTTGTCAAAACAACATGCTGAGAAGTGGATATGATTATCAGCATAGTATATGGTTGTGCCAGAATTTAAAAAATGTAATCCATGCAAATCCAGAGCTTTCAAGGCTGTCTCTTTTTCACTGAATGGAAGAAATTTACTGTTTCTTCATCACATCCCCAGCATTGTTTTCTGAAATTTCTGAGAGGCCGCTCAACCACATATATGGGTCAGTTGATGTAGACAGATGGCAGCCACAGAACTAGAGTTCTGCAGTTTGTAGAGGTGTTGATCATATAGAGGTGTGGATTATGTAATTTTTTTCTAAACTGATATGAGCAGTGTGTGTGTTGCTGTGTGTACAGTATGTGTGTTATGAGCTCTGTGTTTGGCCGTGGCTTGTGCAGATAGCTGCCGGGCTTTGTCACTGTGGATTAAGAGGCTAAGAGATGAAATGCTGAAAGCCCCCTGGGGTAGCAGGGTGCACAGGGTGTTTGGGTTCACCAGCGTTCACCTGCTCTGACACTGTTGTCAATGTTTAGATTAGAGAAAGTGTGCGAAAGGGTGCGCGAGTGCTTTCTCTCTTCCTCTGTGTCCTGGGAGAGTTGATAGACAACAGACAGCACATCCCTTGTTTGCCTAAGTGTAGTTTCTCCTCCGCTCTGCTGCAGATGCTTGGAAAACTAGGATCCAACCACGGCTGTTTGGGAATGGACAGGAAACCCCACTCATTTCCCCCCTCTCTCTGTTGCGTCATTCAGCTCTGGAATGACGGTATTATGGTGCGCTATGCACATTTCAAATTACCCTTGCCCACCTACTTTGTAAACTTATTGTCTTTAATATACTTCCCTGATATGCTGCAGACTGTGAGCAGATAACTGTTTAATCTATCAGAAACACAGTAAACAGTCAAGGCGCTCAACAACAATCTCCTGCAACAAAAGTTCTGAAGGTCTGCCCACAGCTCATTGAGCCTATACTACACCTCAACCCTGCATGCTACTTTCTCTTAACCCCACACAGCTGGATGGCAGACCTTTTCACTTGATGCCTGGAAGTGCTTAAGGCTCTCGACAATCAGAAAAAAGGAGGGTAAAAAAAGGGAAAAACATCTTGACACCAACTCGCCACATTGAGGAAAGCCTGTCTGCATGTTCCTCAGTGCTGCTCACAGCCCTATAATTGACCGAATTAAGAACCTTACTTTGTGAGAAGTGGCATGTGTTATTGCTGGCTTCGTTGTTACAGCTCTGCTTTGCTAGGTTACATAAGCAACATTTTAATTTGTTTGTTTGTATCTAATTTGTATTTGTACTGACATTTCACATGGGTTTTTTTAATGATTTATGAATCATGTGTTTAAGATTGGCATCCTCTCACTCCTGAAGACAGTGAAATAGTCTAGTTGAAGAGAGTACTATTATCTTGTCTCTTGACAATATTATAGGAGCATCTCCATACTTTGGATAATTGCACTGTTCTAGTGTTTCTGACCATAGGCTTATGCCACAAAATTTGGATTTATTTAGTGTGAACTGTGTTTGGCATTCTACATTAGGTAGCGGTTTTGGTAGATGGCTTACAAACTGAACTCCTTCCAAATGTCAAAACCGCTGTCTGCCAGTGGGATTTTCTTTAGCAGATAAAGGGGGAGAAGAGATAAAAGAATGCGATATAATGCCTGTGGAGCAAATTCTTTGTTGTTATTTTTTTCTTTATCAGCAATGTCGCATACAGCTTGAAGTTGCTTAGACTCAAGTGCTTTACTTTGCCTCGTTGGTCAGATAACTGTGATCAGGTATTAGAAGGTCTTTCAAAGCTGACCTTTTGGATGTTTCTGTTATCTGTTACAAGGTAAGTATAGGCATGAATGAGCAGGACAGATGTAATTCATTGTGTGATTTCTAGATCAGGTGCAGAAACATAACTCCTATGAATAATAATGTTGCTTTTTTGTCTCTGAATGTGTAAATAAGAGATTGTGTGGCAACGCATTAGCCGTTAAAACTTTGAAGGTATAAGCCCTGCGTGTCAAGAGTTTTATTTGTAGTGTTTTTGCCCCCAAGTGGTCTAAAATTCAACAGGGAAAGAAACCTAGCTGGCCATCAGCGCGCTCGTTAGCTTGGTTGCTGACGATAATATGTTCACACACTATTCAAAAGACATACAAAACCATCGACTGTCTCTCTTAAAACAACGCTCTTGTGGAGCATTTTATACTGCGACAGACAGATGAGGGTTATTTAAAAGTGCTACACAGCTAATACGCTACGCTAGCTATTCTGCATTTGGAATCTCTCTGTTCCCTCAAAGGTCAGCACTGGATGACTTCATAGTGGTCAACGTTGTCGGTGAATATTCATTTCGCTATCTTCACCAAAGTTGAACTTGACGCATAAGATTCACACAGATTACTTTTTTTTGTACTTTTTTTGTTCACAGATTGTGTTCATATTAACCATCTTATCGTTTCATTTTTATTCACTTAGCTCTGTTATATTGTTTTATAAAAATAAATGAGTGTTTCCCAAGTCCTGCATTTTAAATCTCATTGTGGTGGGTGTGTGGAAAGCGCAACACTCTGCCCCTTCATCGTCAGGCTTAATGTGATGTGACAACTCAGCACTCTTTTGGGTAAATTATGTGAAGCATGCAAAGATGAGAAATGTTTGGTCTCTCGCACCTTTTCGAGTCTTTCTGTGGGGTGTTTGCAGTCCCATGTTTCTACTGCTTTGGGCATTAGAACAATGGGAACCTATTACATTAAAATATATAACTAGTAATGTTTGATGTACTAAAGTACTGTTGTTGTTGCTTTTTGATATTTTTTTCTAACGTGGTTGGAGGAAAGAGAGTGAGAACATGAGTTGTTAACTAAGAGCTTCTTCTTTTTCTGTCTTGGTGCATTTTTGTATATTTTAATGGATTAGTCAGAGCTTTTAGTGTGTGACTCACAATATGCATTTGCTACTGTTAGAGGACATAGACCCTGTGTTGGTGGAGCCGATGGCCTAAGGGAGACTAAGATAAACAATATTATGTTGGCCCTAAGCGAAAATAATGTTCATGCAGGCAGGGAGGTGGTTGAGGGGATATAGGAGAAACACAGTACAGGAATGAGGATGTTACATATGCTGAAACACGGCTGTTCTCATGGGTTGTCTAGTTCACTACATGTCCTCGACCGACTGCTGACTGTCAATGTATGATATTTTGTAAGAATTTATAACTTAAAAAAATTTACTAAAATTATCAACAGAATGTGAAGAAACCACAGTTGTGACTTTGTAAAAGACTTCTATTGTGTTGCAGATATCTACTAAATGAACATGCTAATCAGCTAGCCTCGGCCTGTCCTGTCTCGTAATACCACTTGTGCCTCGAAATGCAATAGTGAGTCACTGTAGCATCCAGTCTGCTCTCAGTCCAACCACATATAGGTCATACAAGCCTCCAGAGGTGGCCACTGACTGATCCCTGAATCCACCGTGTCTTGGTTGACCTTGGAGGTCTGGTCGGAGCCAGTGTAAAACACCTCAGTACTGTATTCTCTGTAGTCAAACTGGCCTCAGTCTAGGAGGATGTGTTCGGTGCAGGTCTGACAGTGTACACTGGGAGTCTGCCAAGCCCGGTTCCCTTGCCTGCTCGCCTAGCTCCGGTTCTGGTGCCCATTCTTGCGCCGCTCCCCGCTAGCATTCCCTGCCCAGCTCCAAGCTCCCAGTCCGGTCAGTCAGCTGATAGGACCGCTAACTGTCTGACTAACTGAGCTAACTAGCTAACAGCAGCTACAGTTAGCATCAGTTAGCGTTTACTCTAGTGATCCGCTGACTCTTATTCGTTTGAAGTCGGAATTCGACATGTTCGCCAATTCTTACATATTGAAAAATTTTAAAAAAGAGTGAAAAATAAGAGTGATTAATCGGGTTATACAGTGTGACATGTAAATGTTATGGGTGCATTGTGTTTATTTCAAGGTGAATTTGGTTAATACTGAATTGTATGTGTCATACCTTTTGTTTCGTTGTTGTATGGACCAGTTTGTATGTTTGTTAATTAGCAGGATCAACAGATGCCAGTGAGATTTGGTGAATGCCCTATTGTTTTTGGCTTGGACCCAGGAATTACATTTCTGTGATTTTTTTGTTAATTACTGCACTCAAATTAAATTTAACAAATGTGGCCATCGTCCCCCTTGATTTAGTCTATCAGTGTCTTTTTTTAATGCTATTAACATTTTCAAAACACTTTCTGTTATTCCAGTTATATTTAGATTGTTAGATATAATGATGGTTGTGTAACTTTGGCGAAAGTCTCGTTCTCTGAGTGCTTTCAACTTCAAATAAGTGAGAGCAAACACAAACACATGTACTAGACATTTAACCACTGTACCTCCATCCAGGCAGGTTAAATTTCAAGAACGACCAACATTATGCAAACAGCCTACATGCAGGAGGAAATTAGACTGAACTAGCTCCAGTACAAGAAAGACAACTTGCCTAGCGTTTGATACTTTACACAGTGCAAATGTAAAAATGTAAAGAGTAAGCTACTGATGACAGTAATGCTTTAAGGGGAAAGAACGTGTTTGTTGTGCGCACTTGATATACCAATAGAGCTTCTATTTTTTTTTTTTTACCTCTTTTCATAGATAAAAAGTGGTAAGACGGAGAAAGAGAGTCAGCAGCTGCTGCTGTGGAGCCTGCAGTACCTGGAGCGCTACATTTACCTCATCCTCTTCAACACATACCTGCATCTAGAGAAGAAAAACTCCTGGCAGCGCTCCTTTACTGTCTGGATGGAACAGGTACAGGATCTCTGCCCCATGTATACAGTTTTCTTCTCTATTCTATCTCGCTTTGATATTTATATACATATGCAATTTGTGTGTGTGTGTGTGTGTGTATTATTGTAATTTTGTCATGTGTCAAATTTAGTCCACTGGATAAAAATTTTAGTTGACTGATTTTAGTCAAAAGAAAATCAAAAGTATTTTAGTCTAGTTTTAGTTATTAACCATGATTTAAGTCTTTTCTAACTCATTAGTATAATTTTGATTAGCATTTTGGTCACTCTGCTCTAACCAAAATAGAGATATTTAGATATTTATCATTTTAGTCTTTATTTCACTTATCTCACATATAGATAAAATGTTTTGTCAAATTTGAATGTTAACTTTGTTCTCAATTTTATAAAGGAGACATTAACTTACCTCAATTCCCAGGTTGTTAGCCTTGATATGCGCTTCAAGTTTGTAGTGTTTTTTCTAGAAATCTTATAACCACATTGCTTACCGTCCAATATAATTAGGCACCTAGTATGTTGTGTTCATCACCAGATTTTGCATCCTCCACAGTGCAACATTTTCCTCGCGTACCAGGCGTCGCCCCGGTCGGCCAGCATTCAAAGCACAGGAAGAAAAAAATACCGTTGAATAAACACTGTTCAAGTGAAAATCTAGAGGGAGAAAATATGGCCTGTAATATTTTTTCTGCGCATTATATTGACAAAAAGAAAGAGAGATTTTATTAACGTTTTTATTTTATGAATTACATTTCAGTCATTACGTTTTGTCAACAATATTGCATGTTGCATGTTATAGTTCGTTTTGGTCACGGAAAAAAAGGTCGTTGACGAATATATTTTGTTTAGTTTAGTCTGAAAGTAACTCTAGTGTGTGTGTGTATATATATGTACGTGTGTGTGTATGTGTGTACAGTATCTCACAAAAGTAAGTAAACCCCTAACATTTTTGTAAATATTTGATTACATCTTTTCATGAGATAACACTGAAGAAATGACACTTTGCTACAATATAAAGTAGTGAGTGTACAGCTTGTGTAACAGTGTAAATTTGCTGTACCCTCAAAATAGCACATCACACAGCCATTTTTAATCGTTGCCAAGCACTTATCTATCGATCGAGAGAGATATAGATATGTATATATATGTATATATAGATATGTATATACTTTTTGTGACACTGATCTAAATAAAACAGAAACGACAAGGAATAAGATTAATAACTGAGGAGAAGTCAACTACAAGAAAACAGAATTAATGTGTGTTCTTTTAAACCACTAAATAAATTTGCACAAAGCTCTATCAGATGGAAATGTCAAGTTAATGTTGCAGGTAATGAGTCCTTAGAAAAATTGCCGTGCAAGCTGAGCACATTGGAATCTGGTACTGTATTGAATAAGTGAAGCATTGCTTTCAGACACTAGAGAAGTGCAACCTGCTGGTGGCCTTTCAGACTCATTTGCACATTGTCATTTGCTGCTCTACATGTTTACTATTTGCTGGTTATTGTGGTTTCTTTAAGATTGCGGCAGGGAAACAAATCTTTAATTACCTATGGTTTCATGTTCCAATATCTTGGTTGAAGATAAACTTAAACAGCAGAATGAGGGACGGCTTTTTTCTTCAGCACTCAATTTGTGCACATTGTGAACTGGTTACCAGAGTTTCATTTGCATTTTCCTCCAGGAATTTACAAGCTGGTTCTGGTTCTTTTGTGGCCTGGTTCTTCACACACTGAACTTCATAATGTCTCGGCTCTGTGTTTTTGTTGTTACATTAATCGTTTGGCCAGCTGCGCCCCTACAGTAAAGTTGAGAATTTATGTGCATTCCAAATAAATGACAAATCTTAAGTGTTACCAAACACACACAAATACACTGCAATTAAAATATATGTTGCAATATTTTAAACTCACATGGTAGTAAAAAAATAAGCAGTTTGGCAGATTGACAAAACACACACAGTGTGGGTTTAAAATGTAAACAAATGATACATCTGCATGATATGGTTTAATTTACATTTCTATGCATTTGGTATTAATTAAAAGATGTTAGCTGTCTTGTTGTTTTCCCAGTTTTAGCACTGAGGCTCAGCAAAACCAATTAAATCTTTTTTTATTTTTACACCGTAGAGTAAGCATAGGCAGCAACTTTACAATATGTATTTTTTTAAGCCGAATGATGGCATTTTTTTGTTTTTATGTTTGAGTGGAATGTCTAAAACCTATGCTGAAAGCAAACAGGCAATCCTTAGTCATGATTTGGACTCGGTAACTTCGCAGCCATTTTCTGTTCTTATTTGTGAGCAGACGGCACACGGCCAAGAGCCTGGAATGTTTGAAAATCACTGAATGAAAATCTCTTCCTTCTTTGTCCTTATTGAGGTGGAATAAACTCAAAGATAAAACGTGGAATTTCAAAATAGACAGAAACAATAGCTGTATAAACAATTGTCACAGAAATATGCGCAGTCAATCTGGACATATTCTTCCTGTTATGAATAGCAAATATATGTGGTGCATCAGAGTGACTCTAATGGCCCAGTTATGCCATGAGAAAATACAGACATGCACACAAGGAACAAGAACGCTCTGCTGTAAAAGGTAACAGAAAACACACATCTAGGTAGCCTTTTGTTTTTGCTGGTATTCCTTTCTGTTTTTCTTTTGTTCTTCCTTCCTTCCAACAAAAATTGCCTTCTTTTGAGCAAAAACTCCAGCAGTCTTATCTGGTTGAGACTTCTGTCCACCTGTTGAATTTATGGCCTGATCGGACCGAACACAGCCTCCAAGACCAACGGAGGCCAGTTTGGCACTCTCAGAATCCTTCAGATATCATCTGAGACAATTTAGCCTCTGGGGGTAATGGCCAATGTATAGGGGCTTCCGGTGTAGCCAGTGGATATTCATATAACGGATATCCGGGCCAAGACTTCCTCTTCTGTGTTAACAGTTCGATTAGCAATCTCAGAACCCATCAACAACTGTTTTCCAACGTTTTGAATGTACACACATTTTAAAAAGCTAATCCCCAAGACTGATAAAAATTGAAATGGTCCTCAGACAATAGACGGTGGGTTCCGAGAGTGTATTTCAGCCAAAGTGTTACGCCTCCTTTACTCTCCACACGGACTGTTTACCTGAATGCGACCAGTGCCCTTTCAGATTTGATTGGAAACCAGAAAGCTTCCGATAACGAAATCTTGTCCCTTGCCTATAGATTCTGCATTCAAATGAAGATATGTTTTTTTAGAGTTTATATGACAGGGAATACAGTAGCAAGGTGATTTACAGGGGCTCTGACCAGGACTCTGACTGCAGGGGTGACGACGGAGACACGACGGGTCCAGGAGAAGCGTCAAGCAGGAGAGGAGTGAGAGGGAGGTATCAGAGAGGCAGCGACGGTGTGTGGGGTCAGAATGTAACAGGTTTATTTAGACTAAAACACAGTTGGTGTAGGTGACTTTTATTTTGTTTCTGCTGAATCTGAATGAAGTGTGCTCTGACCTGGCACTTAATGAGACAAAGAGAAATGGAGGAACGGGAAATATTCAGGTCATTAGTCAGTCACTGCCGGAAAGCAGCTCACAAAAGTGATAGGAATTTTAGTTGAGATGTACTGATGAAATTACTTTGAATTCTAAATTGTGCTTGTGCAGTATTTTCATGTGCAGCCAACTGCTGTAACTGCTGAAAAATCCTAACCCCTCACCTCTGAGCTGCTTTGATTCAGTTTTATTTATATAGCACCAAATCACAACAGCAGTTAACTCATAGCACTTTTCATAAAAGAGTAGGTCTAGACCATACTATGATATTATTTACAGAAACCCAACAATTCCATGAGCAAGTATTAGACGACAGAGGAAAGGAAAAACTTCCTTTTAAGAGGCAGAAACCTCGAGCAGAACCATGACTCAGGGTGGGGGCGGCCATCTGCCTCGACTGGTTGGGGGTGAGAGAGAGAGAGGGAGAGAGACATAAAGAGGGAGAAAGGGATAGGGGTGGTATGGGGGAGCAGCCTACACAATATACACACAGAGGTACAGACTGTAAAGTTAATGTTAGTACAGACTTTTGCTCTAGGTAAAGACCTCATTTTAATAGCAAATTATACAATACATTTAGTAGATTACCATAAAAGAAGTCAGATTGCATTGAAGTCTAAGACAATACGACCCTACTTATAACTTTCCTAATGAGTTTATGGTCTCAAACACTAGTTTCAAGATTTCTTCAATACAGCATAATGACCCAGCAGGACCCAGAATAGAATAATGCTCATGTATATATCTGCAACGTTGTTCTTCCATTCCATATTTATATATTTCTACATTTGTTTATGTTGACTGTATGTTTGTCTACGTGTAGCACCTTATCACCACAGCAAATTCCTCGTATGTGTAAAACACTACTTGGCAATAACGCTCCTTCTGATTCTTCTGATTCTGATGATGATCATTTTGTAAATTATAGTCTCATTTAAAGACTATAAAGCAGGGTCTGTTTTAGGGCGTGGTTACCTTTTGTTATTGTTGCTATTGCGGCGACCTGTCAATGAGGATAGAGGCAAATGAAATTAGCTAACTTAAGATGTCCCCCAGCAACAGCTTTTAACCATTTTCAAAATGTGTTTTTCTTTTCAACACTGACGAGCCTAGCATATAGCATATCTATGTACAGGAAAAGGGAAATTTGACCAAGGTTCTTCCAGCTACCAAGCTTGCTCAACTTTTATTGGAATACAGAGGGGAAATGGGCGGCACTTAAAATTGGTCAATTGTCCTGTGTCTTCTGGAACACCTGGGGCCATGTCTGAGCTGAATGACCCAGCCTGTCCTTTAGATGTGCCAGTGCAGGTTCCACTCACATCCATGGCCACTGGGAAGGTCTGGAGGAAAACAGGGGACCAGGCTGGGAAATCACAGCCATCCATCAATTGCACATAATTCTGATGGCACCCCAGTATATCAAATGAGCCATGTTCTTCAAAGAATCTCTGAAAA